TGGGAAACCAACCTGAGCAGTGTGGTGTCTGCTCAGAGACACTCAGACCTCTTCACAGGACAAGACTCAGCTGTAGATCAACAATACGTTCATGGTTTGAGAGGATTGTGAAAGAAGCCATTTACGTCAAACAAGAAAAAAAAATACTGAAATTGAAGAGGTGGTCTCAGATTTCGACTTTTCAAAACCTACAATTATCAAACATTAAGCGTGATACCCAGTCAGTTTCACGCCTTCAGGCATGTGACCAAAACATCCCTCTTGTGAGCAAGGTGAACAAAGACCCAATACTAACATTTAGAAAGGCGTGTAGTTTCACCCACATGACTTTCATTGTCAACTTTAATCCAGTCAGTATCAAAAATCTAAGAACACAAGAGAACCTGAAGTCTCTACAATGTTGGACAAACTTAGACCAAAACAAAATGACAGAAGAATCCTGCTCTCACTTTAACCCTTCAGCTTATCTCTACGCTCTAAATAAACAACTAAACTAGATTTTTTTTCCTGCTTCCTACACACATGTACACACACTCCAACATGTAGTCTAATCGTATTTTTTCCAATCTAGAAGCAATCAGCAATGATGTCGACTGCTCCCAAGCCCCTCGACTACACTGGCAGAGAGGAGGGACACACACGCTCTAATTAAATTAAATTAAATGTAATGTGTGTGTGTGTGCGTGCGTGCGCATGTGTGTGGACAGGGTTATGCGAGGCACAAATTAAATGTAGCTTCAATATTAACACTGTTTGACCTGTCTGGAACAGATGGAGGAACGATTGGAAATAATGAATTTGTCGTGAAGAGGTCAAAACAAGATGGAGCTCATTGCTGTGACATTATTGGAATTCTTCTTCAAATTTCTGTACAAGGAACAAATAGCATCATTAATTAAATGGACAAAACTATACTTTGATCTCCAGTGAGCTTGTTTTCTTACAAGAACCAAGCGCCTGGAATATTTTTTGTTTTGTTTTTCTGGCCTTTCTTGACTTTCCAACAAAGCAGTAAATTTCTGGGTAGAGTTTGCATGTTCTCTCCGTGCATGTGTGGGTTTTCTCCGGGTACTCCTGCTTCCTCCCACAGACCAAAAACATGACTGTTAGGTTAATTGATAACTCTAAATTGTCCCTAGGTGTGAGTGAGAGAGTGAATATAAAGTTCATTTTAAATTCAACTAATCTAAAAAAAATTATACCACTGTGACATTTAGAAACAACAGCAATTTAAAAACCCTCATGTTGTCCTGTTGGCTGTAGCTGAAAAAATGTGGTTTTGCCTTGTAAAAATACTTCAACATTGCAATGTCAGCAGAAAAAAAAAGTGAAAAAAGCTCAAAGCTCCAGTGTAAACACACAGATCTCTGCCTGCAGAAAGGTAAAAATCATTAACAAGGCTTCTAACAAAGATCCAGGGCATTCATTAGGCATCAATCAAAGGATGATGAGTACTAAGGCTCAACAGTGCTCAGTACATCAGGCTATTTCTACCCGACACATGAAAATAGGCTAAAATGAGTCACAGTGTGTCGAAGGCTGGATCTGGATGGTGCCATACACATCATTTTATCCCTAGAAGAAGTTAATTCCAGTTATAGCCCTGATGGTGCACATTCTGGACATTAAAACCCTTTGCATCCACAGTGTTGTTGATGTTTTTCTAACCACTTACCCTGACCTGTCGTACCTCTCAGGTGTCCTGCGAGCGTGCATGTTTGTGCGAGCGCAGCTGAGCTCCAGTAGAGCTGACAGCTTGCTGTRACAGAGAGCCTTAAACAAACCCACAGTGTCGGCTGCTGCACAGGAGAAATGCTTTTGATTATACAGTGTTAGACACGTGTGTGTGTTCACAGCTTCTGGCTGCAGAGGTTTTTAGGGCCTGAAAGACAGCAGCGGGGTTACAGAACACTTTACAGTTTAATCTGAGTCGACTCCAAAACTTTACCAAACAGCAAACGGAGTGGTATTATTTTTGAGTTATAAAAGATAAGTAGAAATCTGGAAACATTGTTTGGTACATTACAGAAAGCAAAAAGGTGCACGCAGCATTCCAATCTCAACTCTGCTGCCTAAACAAAGAGATGCCATCAACATTTCTCAGATTCCATCAAGTTATTTAAAAAATGTTTCAGTTCCTTTTGCCACAGTCAGATCAGTGTTTTCAACTATTGTTGAAAAAGAGTTGAGGTAGTATTGTTGGTGAATACAAAAGCATTCAAACATCTAATAACTGGGTTTCAGTCACGTGGTTTTGAAGGTGGCAGGATTTCAAATGGATGGCAGGAAGTAAAACGTCTAAAGAGGAAACCATTGTGAGTCCATATCATTTGGATTTAGATCCATTTTCAAGACAAATATACCAGAAATTAGTTCACAAATGTGTCAGGTGTGACACATATCTGATGAAGATGGATACATTTTCGGCAGAACCTAAAAATTAGCTGATAATCAAGGCTGTCAACCTCACAAACTATCTGGTCCTTCAGACATTTTACTACTAATTGGCAAGTGCCAAATAATAACTACTGAAATTTTTTTCTGACAAATAATTCCATACAATTTGGCACAACCCTATTATGGAGCACTAAAGATCATCACACACAGATGAGAAACGTAGAAAGCTCAAAGAACAATGCCATAAAACGTGGATTTTAAACCTACGTCTGCGGTCAGGAGGTGCAGGATGCTGGTGTCCACAGCAATCACTTCATAAGAGGTTTGTTAGCTGCTAACTTGCTTTTAGAAGTTGTGTTTATAAAGCATTAGGTTGTTTTAAATGCTCATTTATTTAGAAGTGATATTTAAGTTTAATATGGACTTCATCTGGACTTTTTAAACTGCCCTAGCCCTATGTGTTTTGTGCCCTATGTGTTGTTAGGCGTTGCATGATTGTTGACGTAGCTGCTACTGCTAGCATTGCAACATATAAAACAAAAAGAAGAAACACGCACACTGGAAAAGACCAAACATTATTCATTGTGAAGCTGTTTGGTACTGAGGTTGTGGATCCACCAGCTGAATAAAAAGTCAGCTTGACGCTTCTCCTCGCTTTCCTCTTTTAATCTAAATAATGAAATGTCTACCTCCTTGACAAAGTCCTCACTCTGTCTAGGACTATTTTTTCTTACATTTTTGTCATTAGGCTTCCCTCCTCTCTGAAAAAGTTCTGACTTCGGCTTGGTCCACCGCTCCACGTTCATTGTCTCATTGTCTTGACTCAAAGGCACTGAAACTGACTAAAAACTAAACACACTAAACTACACCCTAACTATAAAATGCAAAAACAATAAATATCTGAAATATGTCTTAGGAAATAAATATCTGAAATCTCATTGCTCATTCCTAATCACACAGACTGTCCATCTACGCCAATCTTTATTCAACTTTTTCCTCTTTTATTTTCTTTGTCCTGTAGATRTTTCGCTGCTTGTTTAATAGTTTCAGGCATCAGTCAGAAAGGAGTTTGGGGGTTTAATGTTAGTTTGGCAGAGTGTGGGTGAGACCAGGGCGGACTGAGGTGTTTTTTTCCATGAATCTGCTTGTCTTTTAAAGCGTCCTGCTGCAACACGCTTCAGTTTTGGCAAACATTTAAAAAGTGCAGTAAATTATTTAATTATTTGTTGTAACATATTATTTTTTATATAATTATTTATTATTAATTTGATCAGAATGATTCGAGCAGCCATAAATTACCCAATACATGGGAAATTTTTCAGACGGCATATCATCTGACATCACTTCCTGCCCTCCATCTGCATTTTCATTTTCTCAGGGTACTGCATTGTGGCGTCACATGAAACCAATTTATTCAGGGGGTGCATCCTTCGAAGGACAAATTTAAAGGCAGATTAYGTCACAGCAACGAACCGAAGGCTTTTCTAATGCAAAGGCTCCTTTAATTGTGGCCCACAAATGCATCCTGCTTTTTCCCCGATTTGAGGGTCAGGTCCGGTGGATCCTCCTCAGCCCACCCTGTCCCAAGATGCATCACGGGCCAAAATTGGAGATTTTTTTATTTGTAATGTTGGACAAAAGCTAGAGAAGGAGCAAGACAGGAGTACAGTTTTAAATAAAACTCCAGCAGTACAAAATTATAAAATTTTAATTGGCAGGCTTCTGTCATTTGATTAGACATGTTTTTGAATAGAATTCTTGTCAGAAATTATCGTAAATGAGCTCATATAGTGGGTTCATTAGTTCTTTGTGTATTACCTCTAAGCTACTTTTGTTAATTTATAACATTATTAATAAATTAATAGTTTACTGATTTCAATTTTCATTGCTTCTGTTTAGTGTCATCACGGTTATGACGGAGTATGGGCAGGAATATAGCTGAAGGTTAGTTGACCAAATTTCCCTGAGTCTTTGCGGTCAAACAAGGACCCGGCTCACCTAAACCAGGAAGGCCGKGTCCTTTGAAGGAYGCAACYCCTTTTTTATTTAGACAAATCCTCTGTGTTTGTTCTCCGTCTACATGCTTAAACCTCCTTGTAACTTGTTGAGTCCTTGCTGATGAAAATAAAAACACATCCACTACTAACCTGTTGAATCACCAAGTGCTTTATTTCCAGATGCACCTGTGAGCTTCAGCCCAAAGACAAAATAATAATAAACTTACATTTTTTGAGAGCAAACCTCCGAAACCAAACGTCAAATTGGTCAAACAATAATCCAACAGCTGCCTGGTAAAAATCTACATATCTTTGGCTTCAGTGGGCCTACAGCACAAGTTTAAATAACTGTGGCCTTAATAAAYTGATAAAACAGATCAGAGTTCAGAAACTTGTGCTTCCTGTTTTGGACTTAAGTGAAAATTAGATCTAACTTTTTATTTTCAGGAAATAACCAGTCTTATTTTCAAATGTCTGATTAGATATTACAATATAACCTAACTAACTGTATTCCAGWGTTGTTTATCAATTTATCTCATTTGACTTTGGGTGTTATGCCATCACTTCATACAATCTATTTTACAGAAATGACTTTGTTTGTTGCAGGTTTGCAGAGAGGATCCGATCCAAAAAGGAACAGATTTGAYGATGCGTCGCCTTCGATGTCACAAGGAAAGACAAGAACACAGAACAACATCTCAGGACTGTGCTCATCTCTAGTGGCTGTCTGATTTCTGCAAAACTTTTACTCATTCACACCRATCTCCTAAGCAACCAATAAAATTGTTTTCTTTCTAACCACATCTGCTGAAAATGTTATAACTGCTGAACATAAGGACAAAAACGTTAAACAACCAGACATTACAGATCATTTGCTTTGGTTTCAGACKTCATAAGTGTTAGAAGCTCATCACCACCAACAAATACTGCAGGTTTTCTAACATGAAACAATCATAAAGGGTTACAGGGTTCTCTTTACGCCAACGTTCAACATACTGCAGTAAGAAGAGCTAAAAACAGAAAAGGCTGTGATGTGACAGAGCAGACTGTCACAGTGGTGCTCCTGTTCCTGCTCAGGTGTCACACAGAGCTGAGACTCGGCTGTCGGCTCCCAAAGGTCAACCTGCTCTAAACGGCATTGCAGCTGAAACCATCCAGATGTCTCTGAGTCGACAAAATCACTCTGAAACCAAAAGCGCCGATCAAAAGAGTCCTCCGTTTTCCATCGGCTCAGAAGAGAAATTCTAGTAAACAAAGTGTGGCTGCTGACATTATTTGATCAGTGTTAAAAGACTTTCCATTTCCTGACAGCTTTAGACTCGTGATGGTGTCGCTGACGGGGGTTATTACAAGTGAATCCACTTCACAGCAACGCACCGACTAAGAGCGGAGAGAGGGAAATCCAAACATGCCAGCATGCTTCACCAGGCAGCACCTGACAGATGCCAACTTGGAGAGTTTAATCCCGGAGCGCTGCAGAAACCTGCACAACCTGAAGCCAGAGGAGAATGGACAACAAAYCACAAACTAGAAATGTTTACTGAGCTCGAAGGCTGGATGTAGCAGCTGTGATTAACTAATTAGTCCTTGAAAATTATTATGAGAGCACATGCTGATCACTCTCAGCTACCACCACACCTGTTATCTGTAAAATTTACTAAATAAAAGTCATTTCTGTTTTCCAAATAATAATTTCCTCAAAGTTTTATTATAATTTGTCTGATGGTTCATGAACACTAACAAATTACATGGCTGCAGATGTTTATATTTTCTAAGTTTATTTTGAAAGCCATTTAGTGGCCAAAATATGGCAATACATGAGATTATTTTACGTGTATAATAAAATACACTATAGGTATGAATCTCTAATTAAAAGTCTACCTCATATTTGTTAATATAAGCAAAAACATCAGAATAGTGTTTTGTTGCCAACAATTATGATTAGAAAAGAAAATCCCTGATGAGTTTGAGATAAAATTTCTACCTTAAACTTCCACCATCTTATCTTAAATTTTGTAAATTAATCCCAAAACAATAATTTAATAATGTAAATGTTGTGTTATAAGCATAAAAAATCAAAATGCCTTTTGACAGCTCTATATATTCTCACATATAACAAAATGTTACATTTTTATATTTAATTGATAATTTATAGGGTTTTAAATTTCAAAACATTACTTTTATTTATATACAGCAGCTGTAAAACAACAAGTCACCAAAAAATAATAACTTCTGATAGGTTTACTCTCAGGTCAGGACTAAATAAAGATAAATCATCTTTAATCCTGATTCAGGGCCTGTTGTTTCAGGCCTGCACAACAATTCGGTAATTTATTAACATCTGACCATTAAAAATGTGAAACATTTATTAAAGATTTACTATTTTTTTTATTCTGGTGACGCTAATAAAACAAACAAAAGATGCTCTCTGAATGGCAGCTGTACTCTGGTTCCCATAGCAACGGACACAACAGAAAAGCACCTGTGGCTCTGAATAGAGGCTGGTGGACAAAAAAACGCATTTAATAAGGATTTTTCATTTATGTATAAACTAATAAATAAAATAATATTCCTCATTGTTTAAATTATACTATTTATTTAAAAAAAACAGGCAAAATATTAAGTGTGTATTAAAGTAATTTCATTTTACTTTTCCACTAAAATTAGTTTTTATTTAGAGAGAAATAACATTTTAATCGCGCGCAGTTTCCGGTCYCCGAATGAGCAGAACCGGCCCGTTTTCCTGTTTATTCTTTCAGATACAAACACATGACAGAGGGACTCGTTCGGTCTCGCGCTCCGACGTCACCAGAAGCTCGAGCCCCCTCTCCTCCTCCCTCCCCCCGCATGCAAATCACGTCTGAGCTCCAGCCTCTCCATTGGCCGCCTCGCGCTCATTTAGCTGCTGTCAGAGCGCGCGGCCCGGGCACGCTCCCACAACTTTTTATTTTTATTTTTGAGCCCGGAACCGAAGTGAAGCTCCAACAAGTCGCTGTTAGGGGGGTTTCCCTTCCCCGTTCCTCTCCGAGTGGATCTTCAGAACCGGGTCCGAATGTTTCTGCCTGTTTGACTCTGTCCCACTGACACCAGGTGAATGTACAGCATCATGATGGAGACGGACTTACATTCCCCCGTGGTGCCCCAGACCAACCCAGCCAACCCGGGGGGACACGCGGGAGGAGGAGGCAAAATCCCGCAGGAGAGGATCAAAAGACCCATGAACGCATTCATGGTCTGGTCCAGGGGCCAGCGGAGGAAAATGGCCCAGGAGAACCCCAAGATGCACAACTCGGAGATCAGCAAGCGGCTGGGAGCGGAGTGGAAGGTGATGACCGAGGCGGAGAAGAGACCCTTCATCGACGAGGCGAAGCGGCTCCGGGCCATGCACATGAAGGAGCACCCGGACTACAAGTACCGGCCCCGGAGGAAGACCAAGACTCTGCTCAAGAAGGACAAGTACTCCCTGGCAGGCGGGCTCCTGGGCTCCCCGGCGGGCGTGGGGATGGGCGGCGGGCAGCGGCTGGACAGTCCCGGAGGCGGGCACCACGCGGGGGCGAACGCGGGCTACGCGGCGCACATGAACGGCTGGGCGAACGGCTCGTACTCGGGCCAGGTGGCCGCCGCGGCGCACGCCATGATGCACGAGGCGCAGCTGGCGTACACGCACCACCACCCGCACCACCACCACCACCACCACCCGCACCACAACCCGCAGCCCGTGCACAGGTACGACATGAGCTCCCTGTCCTACAGCCCCATCTCAAACTCTCAGAGCTACATGAGCGCCTCTCCGCCGGGCTACATCAGCGGCTACAGCCACCAGAGCTCCGGCCTCTCCCCGGGTTCTCTGGTCAAGTCGGAGCCGAGCGTCAGCCCGCCGGTGTCCGCGGCGCGCGCACCGCCCTCGTGCCCCGCGGGGGACCTGCGGGACATGATCAGCATGTACCTGCCGACCGGAGAGGCGGCAGCGGGGGACTCGTCGGTCCCGAGCAGACTGCACGTCCTGCACCCGCAGCACTACCAGAGCGGGTCCGCGCCGGTGAACGGGACGGTTCCCCTCACGCATATTTAAAAAAAAGAAAACAAATTACCTGAACTCACCTGTAAATTAGAGGCGCTTAGAGCCAGAACCATGCAATCAAACTTTTTTATCATTATTCCGCTGACTTTTTTCAGTTTGCTTCAGTGACGGATTTTTATTCTTGTCTGGTCCGATGAGGGGAAAATGTGTCGCGCTCTGGAACAGCGCGTGCCAAGTTTTGACGCGATTTAAATTATAATCCGTGAAGTCTGGTGCATTCTGAAGGTTATTTTTCTTCTTTTTTCCCCACAGTTGTTTTTTTAAAGTGGAATCGACCGAAACCAGCTGAGTGTTTGAAGGGTTTTAAAGCAGGAGGCGGTGTGTGTGACAGGGCCAAATAAAAACTTCTAGGCTGCAGATTTAATTCATTTCCAGTTTTTGATGCTTGTAATGTGAGTCGGTGTAATTTGTTTTTGTTGTTGTAAAATCTTGTAAAATTGTGAATAAATAGGCCTACTGAAAGCGCTTTTATGAAACTGTACATAATTTACAAAAAGAAAAGAGAGAAAAAAAGCAATCAAAGCCACA